GTCTGTGTGTGTGTGTGGGAGGGGACCGTCTGTTTGACAGACAGAGAGCAGCTAGTGTAATCACAGCTGGAGGAAGAGAAATAAAGACTTCCTTCATCCCACGTCATCTATCTTTAGTTTCCTTTCTGTCTCACTTTCCCCTTTCTTTTTTTAAATCCTCTTTTTCTTCCCCGGTTTCTTCCTCGCCTCTTTCTCTTCCTCAAAGAGTACAACGAAAGGCTAAAAGATAAAGACTCCAGCTGCCTGCTAAGAACCTGTATTAGCTTGTGTATGTGTGGGAATTAGATGGTAATAGTGGAACTTCCCTCTAGCAAGCCAGACTCAAGCACTTATCATGAGGAATTTCAGTAGTAGGCTGTTTTTCTTCATCCTCTTCAACTCCCCCCTCTCGGTTTGAATATTCCACTCTGATATCTTCTGTAATTGGCTTTGACTCTGGTAAACAAGTTTAGGATTCAGGATGGATTGTTGTTTCTCATTCTGTACAGTAAACACAGTACAGCGAGGCTAAAACAGTGTTTGAATATGCAAGTCTTCACTCAACAAACTGCTTGCTTTGTGTGTTTGTGTGTGTGAGAGAGAGTCTGAGGGCATACTCGGATATAATCATTCATGTTGGATTCAATGCTTTTCTTCGATTTTTGTATCTCAAAATGAAAATTGATCACTCTGGATCATTTTCATCCATCCATCATCCATCAGTGTCCTACATTGAATCCTAAAGTTAAATTTGAAAAATAATGGATCTGATCACTACTGAAACATTTTTTATGAAATTACTTTTTTTTTCTCAGTACCAACGGACAACACCCACATTTTCACACCCTATTAACCATCCCTGTGATATTTTTTAATGCTGCTCCCCTCTCTAGCTCGACCATCCGTTTTTGAAAGGGCACTCCCGGCATACAGTATATCCGATCTTCATAGCTGTTTGGGCATTTTTTAAATTAAAGTGATTGGCTCGAAGAGACACTATAATTGCAGGTCAAAACAAGGTGACGTTTCAGTAAAAAATTCTGTTTGGCCCAGAAGGGGGAAAATATTCATTGACTTATACAGTATATTTTGGTTGTAGCTCAGTCCACAGGGACTTGGCTTGGAAACTGATGGGAGGTAGGATCAATTCCAGCAAGATCATGGTACACAGCATGGACTGGTAGCTCAGCTATGTGACAGCCCCGTCACCCCGACATCTCTCCCCAAGAACTGCACGTGTATGGTTCCAGTTTGTGCATGTGTATATTTCAGGCCCGTGCATTCCCAGAGGGAATTTCCCCCAAGGGGAATAATGAAGTAATTATTGTTCTTCGTCTTCTTGAAGCGCTGTTAAATCTGCATGAAGATTTGTGACAACCAAGGGGCAGAAATTTGATATAATTTAGTTTCAGTTACACATCCAGCATGCACAGAACTACATAATAATCCCATTAAATTTATGGTTTTGTCCACCTGACAAATATAAACCCAATATTCACTCCAGCCTGCTTCCAGGCCTCTGGATTCACATGAATGAAGTGAAACATCATATCATTTCTTCATCAGCTAATATTTCACATTTGGTGGCGTATACTAACCCTAACCCATAAGTCAGTTTGTTTGAGCTTATATGCTGAAAACAACCGCTTCCAATGTGGGAGCCTTGAGACTTAGCCATACAGTCAGTGTTCCAATAAAATATGCGTAGAGGTGCTACACTCGGCATGCATGTTCCAGTGTATACATGAAGCCGATGGTCCACTCCACAATTGCAGAATATTAGGTGAAAGAAAAAAATACTACTACAGACGAAAAACCACACCAGAGATTTTTTTAGATGGGCCGACAATGAGGTGGAACTGTTACTGAAAGTAACACAGGAGTATGAAGAGACTGTGGCGGCAGAAAACAGACCGAGAGTCGTCGCAAAGCAAATACAGTGACATTATTTTAATGTAAATACCAAAACAAAAACTCTGTCATTAGCATTGTTTTTTTGCTCTGCATGACCAAATCAGGAAGCCAAACGTGAGTGTCTGCGTCATCATTTTTAAAGTTCTTCATTTTCGCCTAAACTAAACTTTATTTTTCTAGTATAAACTGAACCTTAGTGAACTTTGACATTTAACGTCATTGTCATTTGTTTTAAAAAAAATAAATAAATAACATATATATTTATATTGTAGAAGGTACTGCTAATGTCTGTCCTAGAATATTCTGTGGATGATGACTGTGGATGTTGGCAACAGTAAATGTAAATGCTTTTATGGGATGATGTTGGAGATGCTCAAATGTATTTCAGGATGAGATTTCTTCTCCATCTGTGTGTCTTATTCTGCGGCTGCTGACAGTCTGTTTATGTCTGTCTTCATTTTCCGTTTCTCTATAATTGAGAATAGCTCCTACGTCTACAGTTCTTGAAAGCCAAACATTTCACCGTTTCTCCTTTCTGTTAGTTTGATTGCTGAATCATATTCACTTTTTTTAGTGAATATTTCCAGTTACTGAACCTTCCCTGTTGGTCTGACAAGACTCACTGTTTCAAAGCTAAAGCAGCAATCCTGTTTAACATCTGTTACTTAGCAGACTGAGTGTTGTTCCAGATGTCTACAAGTAGCTTCTGTGGGGGGAAAAGGTGAATGATGTGTCTGTTTTAAGAAGGCACTTTAAGAGAAAGTGAGCTCATTTTGTCATCTTACATGTTTCTGAGGCGTCTTTGCCAATCAAATTCTTTCACACACACACAGCTACTAGAGAATTCTGTCTTGCTATTCATTACATGATGGCACCAAACAACCTGTCAACTTGGATAATTTCCTCTCATTAACCTAAAAGATCCAGCTCAGACAGGTCATCAGTCATATATTCTTCTCACAGAGAGTGTGTGTGTGTGTGTGTGTGTGTGTGTGTGTGTGTGTGTGTGTGTGTGTGCATCACCAGAAGGTGCTTAAGGAGAGACAGATTGTGAAGTGTTTTTGGCATAGATTCCTTAAGGCGGGTTCAGGTTCAATTTAATCAAGTGTCGACTTGGTTGCTGACCATATCCGGCGTGTCAACTCCAGTCACTTCGAAGCACCTTGCATCCCCTGTTAGTGATGTGACATTGTTTGGATACAGTCAGCAACCTAATTGCTCATTCATGAAACAGTTTTCAAAGGTGCTTGATATCCAGCAACCAGTTGTGCATCTGACTCATGCGAGCTGGAGATAACTGGAAAGCAGAGGTGAGACCAGCAGAAACCAGTAAATAAAGTTGTTTACCCGATCATGAATCAAGCAATACTTTCAATTTCAAAATTTTCAATGAACCACTGCGCTGCAAGAACATGCTAACTAGCCAACATTAGCACTAAAAAGCAATTGTGTCCTGTTAAATTTAACCGTAATATACTGTATGAGGTACATACATGCATCCGCAAAGCATTTGAGGCAGACTGAAGTTCGATTGCCCTAACCACTTAAGCTGATGATACACGGAGGCAACCTTTTTAGCAATGTTGCTGGTGGCAAGTCTGTCTATGTTTTAAACAGATAGCAGCAGGCGGGGCGGGTGGCGGAGTGGTGGGGGAAGGGGATTACGGTAGTAATCTTTACTCATTACCATTGATGGCAACATTGCCCAGAACCATTGCTGTAAAAGTTGCTCCGTGTATCATCAGCTTTAGGGAGCTGATTTGAGATAGATGCTAGCCAGACGTTGAAAAGGTGTAAATGCATCCGTCTCTCCAAGACTGATATGTATTCTTGACTCCATAGTCTATTAAATCTTACCTGTAGGACTGGTTCTTCCATGTGGATGGTATACCATCAACCTGTGTCAGTCACCTGCTAGATGGTATTGGGTCATAACGTAACATTGCATAACATGGTCGGGATCCCTAACTGGCTTCCCTACATTGACCACTGCCAAATGTGCTTCTTTGGACGGCTGACGAAGAGATGCACCTCCTGTGTGGATTTAGTCCAGGTCTCAGCAGTGGTGGTTGTTATCTATACCAACCATGCACCTTGTAGCACTCTGTTTTTTTGTCGCCCACAAACAGGAGATCAAGGAGGAAAATTTAGATAAAGCCGTAGTGTGTGCAAAAGCTAAGGTGCCCTCACGGTTTTCCTAGATCCACTGAACAATAGCTGGAAGTGGTAGAAAACTAAAGCTGATTGTCCACATTGGACAGATTTTAAAAGACATTTCTAAGATAAGGTCTTTTAGATATCTTTGGTTGTTAAGTTGCCAGTTTGAATTTCAAAATGACTTTTTGAAATTCTCAGACAAACAATTACCCAGCACCAAGCTGAAGCTTGTTTTTAGCCGTAGTGTTATTAAGGCACCATATCTACATAACAAAAAATGTTTTTGAGTTCTTGAATGATGGAGAGGGCACAGTGTGTGACTGGTTACCAGAGCCATGAAACAATTAGGATGCTTGATAGCGTTAGATGAAGGAGATCTGAGTCCCAAAGCTCATTATTGTTGTAGTAGAGTGTTTCAGTGTTGTTGATCTGCATTCTCAGCACTCCTTATTCCACACTGACACAACTAATCAGCAATTCTACATTTCAAATTCAGATTCTTGTTTTGACGGTGACTTGTTCTCCAAGGCATTTGATGCTATTGCCTGTCCTGATTATATTTATTTATTCATTAGTCATGTATTTCTTCTTTCCCAGTGTATGCGCATCCTCAACCTTATAACTTTGTGACCAAGTTTTGAAACTGTTAAGTGGTTTTAATTATTGTTTTTATTGTTATTTAACTTTGTTTATTTAACTTCAAATCAAACGCATATCAGTGTCATCCTCAACCACATGAAAAGTTTGCAGAATTAACTAAAAATAAGTGAAGTAAAATAAAAGACTGGATTGTGTGATAATATTTCTTCCAAGGCCTTAACAAGCGTCCGCCAAACCATTCAGTGTTTTACTTAATGTTCCAAACTTGCAGTGTTTTGTCTGGGTACTTGGCTGGCTACAGTAGGCCACTAAATATTGACTTCACTTCTCTTTCTTGTCCCTGGTGTTAGGCTTCAGAGGAGACCTCTTTGCTGATGTCCAGCCCCAGGATGCTGCTCCCTGCATCAGGCTCACTGCCACCAGGTGCCCCCCTGTCTGTTCACCACCAGATACAGCTGCTCCAACAGCAGCTCCAGCAGCAACAGCAGCAGACACAAGTGGCTGTGGCACAGGTGAATCTTTTACATTTACACATACACAAACTTATTGTATTACTAGTTCTATTTGCTTTAATGTTATGCTGTTTAGTTAGCTATAGTAAGTGTATGAAGAACAGTGCAGCCGACGGGTAACTGAGACCGTTATATCCATCTAAGCTCTCTTCAAAGCCACCAGACTCCTTTAAAAAACAAACAGGTTTTTACCTTGCAGAACACTTTCTTCAGTGTGAATTGTAACATTAATCTTCTCATCAACGTGGAAAATATGCCTTCATCCACAGGCATGCAAAATCCAAATCAATGCTGTCAGGTGAATGGTTAGGAATAAAAAGTCTTTAATAAGTATGAGCCTGTAAATCATAAAACTATACATTACATTTATTCATTTAGCTGACGCTTTTCTCCAAAGCGACTTACAGTTGCTATATATATATATATCTCAGAGGTTGCACGTCTCTGGAGCAACTAAAGGTTAAGTATCTTGTTCAGGGACACATTAGTGTCTTACAGTGGATTCGAACCCGGGTCTTTCACACCAAAGGTATGTGTCTTATCCACTGCTCCATCACCATCCTATATGTATATTGGCTCAGTTGCTTTTTTCAGGGTGCCTAGAAACTCAGTCAGTATCAAAATTAATAACCAGTCTAATTCTTTGAATTTTACCGTTAGAGTTGTCTTTATCTTTATCTCCATCCTTTCATCTTTTATCTATAATCACTTACACAGGCCACAGGGTCATGAGTAGCTTGAGCTCATCCCAGCAAGAAAATCTTGAAATATATTTGTATTAAATGAAATATTTGCTGACCACACAGCGTGGGAAGAAGAAACACGTGATCAATTGGAAACACTCAAGGATAATATGAGCGATCACTCGCCTGCAGTCCAATCTGGATTTGCAAAAAAAAAGTTAGTACAGAGTGCGCCCAGCATCCAACATGAATCACCCAGCTTGATTTGCTGCAGTGGGAGAAGGGACTTGTGACAGCAGTGGCTTCGGGCTTATGAGCTGGATGGACAGACAAACACCCACACATACATGCAGTTTGTCGGCCTGCTTGCAAAAGGCCTCGAGACTTGAAAATGAAATTTAACACTTCAACACACCCTCCTTCTCATGCACAGTCACACACACACACACCTGACCCAGAAGTGTCTCAGACAGTTAAATACTGATGTCTCAGAGATGGATATAGGGGTCCTTTTCACACTGAACTTAGCTGTTGCTTTGTCTTGACCTGAACAATGTTAGACAGACTTCTGCTACAACTGACAGCTCACAAATTCAGATTGAGCGTGCCCAGACATAAATGCCATTAATTATACCTTGATGGAGCCAAAGGTCACTTCCCACTGGCAGAGACACTGGTGTAGATTTTAGAACAGCTTTGGCACATGAAAGGATTTTACCTAATGTAGAATATTTCAAATGGGTATGTGCTACCCTAAGGTGGTTCTGTCTGACCTTGGCTCTTTTGCCGTTTAGCAAGGTTTCCCCAGTGATCCTAACGTGTCTGAGCTGCTGTTAACACTTTCCACACAGCATCTAAATTAGTTTCCACTGAGGCTTAAGATTGATTCTTTGTAAGGCTTATGAGTCTGTGTGCTCGGGATGCCATTGTCTGTCATCTAGGCCTGTAATGGTAGTACTTGACTATTTAAGTAATCAATTTGTCGATCGACAGAAAAGTAATCTAAAATGTTTCTAAATTATTAACCAAGTCTGTGGTTCCCAAATTGTGGGTCAGAGCCCCAAGGCTGTCTGAAAGGTTGCAAGATAAATAATGTGATAGGAACGGAGAAAAAAAACAATAAATTGGCTTAAAAAGATGTTTTTAGTTTGGAGACTAAAGTTGATTCCAAGATTTAAGTCCTTTATCAAGTGAAAATGATAACAGTTCACTGGTTCCTGCCTTTAAAAAAGATTTTGTGCACTCCTCTGTTATGGATTATTATAAATCATATACCTTTGGGTGTTGATCGACCAAAACAAGATATTTGAAGATGAAGAAGTCACTTCTTGGCCTCCTATATTTCTAAAATTAATTAAAGCCTCTTTTTTATAACGTGCTATTCACGGCATCTGAACTTACATGAACATGCATTTTGTAGACATCTGTGTACACACAGGTGCACACACATTTAGACACACAGACGTACAGTATTTTTGTTTTCCCCTGAAAAAGATTGACTTCTTGATGATTGACAAATTTAAAAACATGCACAATCACACACACATACGTTTACTAGGTTATTTGTTCACGAAATCATTGTTAAAGGCCAAGTGTTCATTAGGAAAGAGAAGGAAACGGTGTGTAAAAAAAATAAATACAAATAAAAGTTATAGTCTGTCTCTTCCTCCCTCACTCACTCAAACTCCCTCTCACAGGTTAGACTAAACTTTCCTGAGGCTACTTCTAACCAGCTGTAATCGGGGAGCTTATTCCACCACTGAAAGTCAAACAGTAGAAAGTAACAATCTGATTAGCGCTGCCCAGATAATGCACATTGTGGATGAAGACACAGTATTATGTGGCTGACACACAGCAAAATGTGTGTATGCGCGTCTGTACATCTTTATTTGTCTGAGTGTGTTTGTGTTTTCAAGAACTGCAAACTTTGTTTCCTGTTCAAAAAACAAACAGCCTTTCCCTGGTGTCTTTGCCTCAGTTTCACACCAGAAAATAAACTGGCATGCTTCTGTTTTCACTTTTCTGCTTTTACATGTGGTGAAACTATTTGTTGAAAAAAATTCACAGGATCACAAATTATCCAATGTAGTTATTTCAAAGGCAGATATTACTTTAGTTTATGAATTGATTATCTCAAACAGCAGCTCCCCACTGATTTTACAGAGCTGTCAGGTTTGGTTTTCCATAATAGGGTTGTTTTATAATCCCAATGCAGCAACACAAATCATTCATCAGTCAACAAAGAAATTTTTGTAAGGAATAAACACTAGTAATATTGAGCTGACTTGGCTTAGACTTCATGAAATCAAACCCCGTTTACAATGCAATTTATGGTGAGCAATTGTTATTGATTTACATTGTGGAATGACCTCTCCGTATACTAGTTTTCATTTTATGAGTCTGCCATTGCTGTGAAGGATACAGATTGCTCTCAAATCCCACGCAACCAGGGATTCACAGGAAATTTCCATATCAGCCATATCAGAGCTGAGTTAACTTACTGCTAATGCTAACCGAACATTTCTGCTGCTGCTGCTAGCTCACATGAAAAGTGTTCAACGGGTGAAACGGGATGGATTTTATTGTAAAGCAGCCGCAGGAAACGCGGTGTATTTGTCATTGCGGGTAGTGCTTACAGCAGTCATTCATTCAAAAACGCATCCAAAAAAGAACAAGGCAAAAGTGTTTTGTCAGCTTTTATTTTGCAAGATCGCTAAGCAACGGCCACAGTGAGCTGTTAGATGAAGAGCTGCAGGCGACAGACTAGAAACTACTTGCGCTGTGTGCACTGTGCGGTATCTCACAGCATGATGGAAAAAGACCAATTACTGACTGACTTTATTGAAACAATGCGAGTTTGTTTGGTTGCACTTAAACACATACACCACTTGCTCCTCCGTTGTGTTTCTGACAAAGTAGTGTCTCAAGGAGTATTTGTTCCCCAGAATTCTGGGATCTGTAGTATTAAACTATACTTGCTGTTGTCAAATCAACCGGGACTGAAATCTGAAGGATTGTAACTTCAAAGGGCCGGTTCACATTGAGTCCTTAAAAGACTTCAAATGTCAGAAGAGGTGCTGAAACATGCTTTTATACAATGTTACTGTGCACAGCAAAATTAATTTTCAAATTCTGTTGCGTTGTCGACTAAATCAATAATAGATTAATCATGATGAAAATCAGCAGATTAATTGATAATGATTATGGGTAGCTGAAGCCCTAATATTGCTTTAATTTGTCACCTGTCTTTACTTTGCAAATCTTTGTCTGATAATCTTAACAGCAAAGGGATTATGGAGTATGGCAGCAGTTTATTAGGGAAGAAATTACTTGGTAGTCGGGATGAGGTGGTGATTATTTTCACTGCTGCGTCGCTGATGAAAGTGCCTGTGACTTTTTAGACCAACCAGGCAACTGAGATAATACTCTTGATGTTGAACCCTGCTGCACAGCCTGAGCAGGGGTCACAGTAAATGGAGGTAAATTAGCGAGCTAGCCAACGCTAATCACAATTCGCTCAGGGATGAGTGGAAGTGGAGATTTTTAATGAAGTAGGGGAAGTAGAAGTAGGAAGAGGGGGTTCAACTAAGATCTGTTTCAAGTTCGCGCTGCAGATACTGCACTGTCACTGCTTAATGATATTTGACTCTATCTCTCTCCGTGTCTGTTTCTCTTTGCTTACTGATCTTTCCTTCAGTCCTTCATTACTTCAGTTCCCCCTTTCATTCCTTACTTCTACTTTATTTGATACGTCCTTTCTTACAAACTTCTTTTCATCCTCCTTTCAGTTATTTTCACCCTGTTATTTTCTCTCTTTTTTCTCCCTGTCCTCTCTCCAACATTTCTTCCTTTTCTCCTGCCCTACCTCTTTCTGTCTTGATTCAGGCTTTTATTTCTCCTTTTCCAACCTATTTTCTTTGCTCAAACTGATCCCTTTCTCCTGCCCTGTTGCTCAGACTTTTCTGGTTCTCTCTCACTTAAGTACATATCTAATGATTTCCTTATCATTGCACCAGCAAAATGATCATTTCTCCTTCAGTTTATTCCTCCAAAAATGAGATAAAAACAGAGACTAACCAGTATTGGAGGTGTCTCAAACATTTCCAAATGAAAGGGACCTGGCGTGGGCTGCGAATGCAATGATGGTAATCCTGTGTGAAGAGTACATTCTCAGCAACCAACCCTGTGAAGTCACAACACACAACCAACAGTCCTAATCCCCTTACACTACCAGTGGTAGAGTCTCTGTTTTTCGGTCTTGTCTAAAAGGGAAATGATGTAATTTTAACAGCCTGCACCAGTTTCTACGATTTCTGC